CAGCCATTCTCACGACATGCCCGAGCCAATGTAGACGTCACTGCTTCAGTAATGTATACTTCCTAAAAATTCCACATCGTCTAAGAGTACATTTTGAAGAAGTAAGAATACAATAGGAACCCTGTATTCATGAGGGATTGGTTCCAACTCCCCCATGGATACTGAAAACTGTGGATAATAACAAACACTATACATAGCATGGTAAAAGAAAAGAAAAATGTTGGTATATTTACCAGATATGGCCACCAGAGTGAGGCAGAGACCATGCTATGTATTACAAAAAGGAGAATACAGTGGTGCCTCGCTTAATGAGCGCACCGTTTAACGACGAATCCGCATTGCGATGTGGATTTTGCGATCGTTTTTAAGATCGTATTGCGATGTTTTCTATGGCCGAAAATCGCATTGTTTTGGAATCCGACCAACAGCCATTCTCACGACATGCCCGAGCCAATGTAGACGTCACTTTTTCAGTAATGTATACTTCCTAAAAATTCCACATTGTCTAAGAGTACATTTTGAAGAAATAAGAAAACAGTAGAGTAAGAATACCCCTGTTGTCATGAGGGATTGGTTCCAACTCCCCCATGGATACTGAAAACTGTGGATAATAACAAACACTATACATAGCATGGTAAAATAAAAGAAAAATCTTGGTATATTTATCAGATATGGCCACCAGAGGGAGGCAGAGATCATGTTATGTATTACAGAAAGGAGAATATATAGGATGGTCTCTGACTCCCTCTATTGTCCTGTTCTGGTAAATACACCATGGAAATACATGTTTCTAGTTTTTTCCTTTTAATGTTTTTAATATTTTCAGACTGCGGATAAATGAAACCATGAATACTGATCCCGCGGATACAGGGATCCTACTGTACATAAAGCTGTGCGTACTTTTAAAAAGACGGAACAGTTGAAAATGCACACATAGGTGCTTTCATTGGGAAAATATGTACAAAAATGCGTATGACTTTCCAAGCAGGAAATGAAAACAGTGTTTCACAATGTCTCACAAAGGAGGATCAGAGGAAGCTGTTGGAATTGACTGAGGGTTATTCACATCCCTTTTTCTCTTTATTCAAATCAGAGCATGGCAAAAGTTAAAATTATAGGCGTACAGTATCTGAAATATAAAGGTCAAACAAATTAAAAATGATAAAAAAGATTGAACTGTTTTTAACCAGAAGCGGGCTACTTTAATGGCGTTCTCTTAGCCATTTGCTAGATCTTCTGTTCTGATATGGGACATAAATTTAATCCATGTCAGTGCTGCATTGATTGAATTTCTCCACAGTCACAGAATATTTGTCCTGCATCCAAGAAGCTCCATTTCACTTGATTAGTCTTTTGTCTTCCTGCTTTGCTTTGAAGTCTGTTAAGTGACTTCCAGATATTCCAGCCACAATCTTGTCCTGATGGCGATCTTCCTAATCCTGCACCATCCAATCAGAGACAGTGCTGAGGACGGATGCTTGCTGTTTATTTCTGTCGTTGCTGTCCTTAGGCGGCTTGTGTGCTCATGTCTTATCTCTCCCACTCCATCGCTAAGCCAAGTCTTGCCGAACCGGAAGGCCCCCGTTTCTCCCGGGCCAAGTGGAAGACATCAGGGTTATACTAACTTCTGTTCAGCTTCCTCCCCAGTGCCGGCGCCCCCGATCCTGCAACTGGAAGAGTGTTGCACCCACAACAACAGTGCCACCTTGTCGTGGAAACAGCCGCCTCTGTCTACCGTGCAGGTGGAAGGATACATCCTGGAGCTGGATGATGGGAATGGCGGTCAGTTCCGGGTAAGCAGGATGGAGAGGCGTCCAGATGGCTGGGAGCGGAGAAGTTGAGCGGACCGGGAGGAAGGAGGGAGGGAGAGAGTCAGGAAACTCCACGGACCAGATGTTGACCCTCTGCAAGACGTAGAGGAAGTGGAAGCTGGAGGTCCCTTTTACAGGTAGATTCATGAAGATCCACCTTGTGGTGCAGCGGTTAAACTGCAGTCTTGCAGTCGAGACTCTGCTCACAAGATCCATATTCGATTCCAACAGACTCAAGTAGCAATTCAGCCTTCCATCCTTCTGAGGTTGGTACCAGGCTCACTGGGGGGACAATGTGTCACCTGCCTAATTAAAATTGCAAACCATCCAGGGAGTGCTTTTAACATTATGGGCAGTCTACTGTGTTTGCTTCTTTTCCTTAAAACAAAACCCTGAGCTGAAAATATTGAGTTCTAAAAGAGTCACAGCAGGAGAAGTCGGGCGGAAGTGGTGTTTATTTCAAGACAGTTCTACATAGAGCTGCCTGCTTAGCTCGGTGAGTTGGAGGATCTGACGAGGTCAGGGGTTTGTTTCCCGGGAGTGAGTCTGGGTTTCCTGGGCAGGTGGCGTGGTCCAAGCGCGACCTCGGGAAAGCAGGCAAGCAAACCGCCTCCGAGCGCTGCATACCCAGAAAATCCTGGAAAGGATCACCCTAACTTTGGACCGATTTGATGACCCGTAGATATGATTGGCGACGGCAAAGGGGGGAAGGGGTGGAAAGGAATGATTTTGCTCATGTTACACCCCCTTCCAAGCCACGGTAGACTGATTTAAGAGTGAACTGCAATTCGGAAGTCATCCGATGCAGGTCCCCGGCTGCGCTGGGGTTGAAGACGGAGATTTGCTGGCAGGTAGCCGTTGTTCTCGACTGAGCAAGGTGCCACCAGAATGTTACAGGGTTGTCCAGAAGGCCCATGGCTTGTCGGCCTGGTCCTGAAGACAACCGGGGGGCCCTCATGGTTAGCAAGCAATCCACAAGAGACTTAAAACATGCTTGGAGTAGAAGGTTCCTCCATGGCCTCCTCCCTATAACGACTGATGTGTCGTAAAGCCACTTTCCATGGGTTGTGCCCAAAACAATTCCATACCTTTGGACTGCAAGAGGAGCCAACCTCTGGACTCCCGGTTAAGGCATCCTCTTCTGCTTGCTTTTTAGGAGGTGTATGTCGGGAAGGAGACCATGTGCACCGTAGACGGGCTGCACTTCAACAGCACCTACAGCGCCCGGGTCAAGGCGTTCAACAAAAGTGGGGTCAGCCCGTACAGCAAGACGCTGGTCCTGCAGACTTCAGAGGGTGAGTGGAGGCTTCCTTCAAGAGGTGGCCCCACACAGCCACCTCTGCAGCCCAGCAACAGCAGCCAGTGACAGCTGACGACTCCCGGTTCCAGGGAGGGCTGTGAATCCAGCCCAGGTTTTCGTGTGCACCATGCAAGAGTTCTACAAAGGGTTGAGCCTGTTTGAGGTTAGAGCTCCGCCTCTGGGACAGGTCTTTGAAGGGCAAACGAAAACCCAGAATGGATTCTTGAACCCCTGAAATTGGAGTCACCAATCACTGGTGGGGAGGATAGCTTTGCGGGTGCACAATTTAGGACTGGTCACGATTTTGAGAGGAGGGGGGAAACTTACTATCAAATTAAACAACACTTTGGAAAGAGTGTAAGTTAGATATACCTAAAGTGATCCGTTTTCTCTTCTCTGCTTTTCTTCAAATTTGATTCCTAACCACTTGGCCTCCTCCCCTTACTCTTCAACCCCCTGGAGGATCAGCTGCAGGGAGTATCAGCTCCAAAAAATCCCAGCTACCCTTGCACAATGAGGACTAGAACAATCACTCAGTTAATAAAACAGCAACAGAGACCCTTGAGAATCCCTTGCAGGCATCATACGGGGCTAACCCTTCTGGATCAGGCTGTGCGGCAACACGTGAGCGCTTCTGCAGGAGGAGGGCTAGAAAACGGCTCATGTAATAAAAATGAGAGAGGTCTCCAGAGCATCGCCTGGAATAACCACACAATGACCGACAGGTCTCTCTGATAGTTTCCTCCGTGGTCCAGATTCTCTCCCTCAATATGTTTCATGTGCAGATTGTGGCAGTGATGAAAAGGTATCAGAGGTAAACAGTTCAACAGTTGCTTAGAGGCTAGAAGGAACCCTTTGTAAGATATATCCCCCAAAAAGATAATAATAATGATTGTTATAATGAGGGTGTTGGGGGCGGTATTAAAATGTTACTGTGTCTTTATCTATCAAAACTTCTGTCTCCCTTCTTTGGTCAAATCCTGGACCTGAAGCTGTGGGGAAAGTCCCAGAAGGAGGAGGAGGAAATCATGCGGTCCACAACGACTACTTCTGCAACATTTCCCCCATTTTTTTCTTGCTTAATAAGGACTAGGAGCTTATCCTGGTGGTAAAACGACAAGGCGGGAGGAATCTGTCATTCAAATCTTGGAAAGGGTATATTTGTCTAACAGTTTCCAAAACCCACCAGCCAGTATGGTGAAACTGGAAAGTCCTGGGAATAGTCTATTTTTTTTAATGGTAATTTCCCCAAATTCTGCCAAGAGTCCACTCTCTGAAGATCATTATGTTCTGCTCTGGCCTGGCCGTAGGGAGTGCGTGCGTGCTGTTTCACGCTGCCCGTTTTTTCACTTCCGCCGAATGGCGTTTGCACAGGGAGGGGCGCTTAGCACCGGGGCTTGGGGGTCGCCTCTCAGGTAAAAGGCCTCCCAACCGGGCGCCTGACCTTGCCTTTGCCTTGCTCTTACGTCTTGTCTAGACTCGGAACCCGAGGAGCAGGCCTTGACCTTCCCGGTGCCTTTGGAAAGGCAGCAGCTCCGTCGATCGGGCCCCTTCTCGTCTTCCACCCTTAACCTGCAAAACAGCTTCCCCGGGCGCTCTTCGTACTTTGAGCTCAGATCCTCGTCCCACCAAATGAGCTTACACTCTTCCCTGCAGTCTTTGCACTCCGCCGGTGGGTGAGCCAAGCGTGCCTGGCGTTGCCGTTGAGCTGTGCTTCTGGATGTTCCCCTGTTTTTCTTGTTTTGGGGTTCGGTTCTTGTTTCTGTGGCTGGTTTCGCTCTCGCTTCTCCTTCCTGCATTTGTTGTTGTTGTTTTTTCTGGAGGGGGTTTCTCCTCTCCTTTTCCTCCGCTGCCCATGCTATTCGTACGAGAGGGGAGGGAGCTGTCCATGTCGTCCGTGGCTGGCTGTCCGCCGTAAAGGAAACTCTGATCATCTATAGACCTGTGTGTGATCTCTGTGTGTGTCTCTGTGCATTTAGTTCGTAGGTGGCTGAGCTCCACCGCCAGGCAAGCCTCCAGGAGGTCAGCTACTGCGGACAGGCTGGCTGCGTTGCTGTGGAGGGGTCCCTCCCTAGCCATCACCCCGTGAATGCCCCGTTGGAAAGCCTCTTCTGTAAAAAGGACCAAGGATTTTGTGGTGCCTTTCAGAGCAACAGCTTGCTTTTAGGGTTGTTGTGGGTTTTTCGGGCTCACTTTGGCCGTGTTCTGGAGGTCGTCTGGAAGGTTGTAGGTACGAAAAAAGGTTGAAAATACTAATAAGAAAAGTGGAATGTCAATTGTTTCTAGAAGGGTTTTTCATAAGTATGGTGGTGCCTCGCTAGATGATGATAATCCGTTCCACTGAAATAGCTGTTTAGCGAAATCATCATCTAGCGAAAAGCATTTCCCCACTGGAATGCATTGAAACCTGTTTAATGCGTTCCAATGGGGAAGAATCGTCGTTGTCTAGTGAAGATCGGCCATAGGAAAGCCACTTTGCGAACCACCGATCAGCTGTTTAAAGAGCTGTCTTGCGAAGCTTAGGTCCCGAAATCACCTGTTTTGCGAGCACGGAGGGAGCTGGCAAAATAGTTGTCTAGCGAAAATCGGTTTGCGAAGCAGGGACCAAACATTGTCCAGCGAAATTCCCACATAGGAACCACTGTTTTGTGAATCGCTATAGCGATCGCAAAAAGCCAATGTCTAGCGAAAAAACTGTCATGCAGGGTAACTGTCTAGCGAGGCACCACTGTAATTACACTTTTGTGAGTATCCCGTAGCTGTTTGCAGTGCACAAGAATGGGATGCGAAATCTGAGCTTCCATACAACCTTCAGAATACGGCCAAAGAGCCCGAAAAACCCACAACCAACCATCCGATCCCGGCCATGAAAGCCTTTGAGAATACATTAGCTTGCTTTTAGCCTGGGCTTTTCTCGCGTTAGGGTCCCACTTTCAATAACGCCGTGGGCCGCGGGGAAAAGGACATTGTGGGTTGAATTCTGAATATCCACAGAACGAGAGAGTCCATTTGGAATTTGCTACAGCTGCTCAGGGGCTCTACGTGGTCTTTCCAAGGGCTTCCTTACGAGAGAGTTTACAAAGTCTCTTAGGATCTGTAGAACGGACTTCCGGTCCAAAGATGATGCTAGGATGGAGATCATAAACTGGAGAATTAGAAGGAAACCACTACCACCCCCTGAGGGCCATCCAGTCCAGCCCCCCGGGCGGTGCAGGAAATCCACACCTGAAAAGCAGTCCCTGACCGGTGGAGGTCCAGCCTCTGCTCAACAATCTCCAGTGAAGGGGAGCCCGCCCGCCCCCTCCGGACGTGGGGGTCAAAGGGCTCTGACCACTAGGTAATTCTTCCTAAGGTTTAGTGGAACTTTCCAATGGGAAAAAAAGCAGGCTTCACAGGAGGAGGGAAAGAAAGGGTTAAAATCTCCCCTCATAATTGTTAGTAGGCATCAGAGCTTGGAAGCAAGTAGTGGTTGGGGCGGAGGAGAGGATTCAACCAGGGTATAATCAAGTTACATTTATATTTCGATGTAAAAAGTAGGTAGGTTCATTTATTGTATCACGAGCCCTGTTTTCTAGTTACTTCCAAACATTAATTTATAAGGGCATTTTAAAAACAGGTCAAGACATTTTGATTAGATTTGTACAAGTTCTGTGGCTTCGGTTTGTCAGTCCCTGTGGCCAAGGGAATGTGGCCTTGTTTGGCAAGTATTATTATTATTATTATTATTATTGCTAAGAGGTAGCCATGTTAGTCTATGCAAGCATAACAGGCAAAAAAAAGAGATAAAAAGACAAAAAAATTGACTTTAGTCTTTAACATGCCACAATATTTTTGTCCTTTTATGCTTTATATTTGTTCGTTTGATTTTACCTGATATTTTTCTAAATATTTCAGAGTGCAGTATCTAGGTTGGTTGGCCACTAGAGGGAACTAGGGCCCCTTTCCCTGCATTTCTTCAAGATGTGTTGACTATCATAAGGGACTTCATTCATACAGCGCAATGGAATGAACTACAGTGGTGCCTCGCTTGACTATGTTAATTCATTCCAGCGAAATCGCTGTAGAGCGAAAACATCGTCAAACAAAATTTAAAAAACCCATTGAAACACATTGAAAACCGTTCAATGCGTTCCAATGGGCTGAATACCTGCTTGTCCAGCGAAGATCCTCCATACGGCGGCCATTTTCGGTGCCTGTAAAGCGAGGAATCCGTCCTAGAAAACAGCAGGGGGTTTCTTCAGCTGGTGGCCATTTTGAAACCCGATGATCAGCTGTTTGCTGATCGTCGTAAAGCGAAAATCAGTTCCCGAAGCAGGGAACCGATCATCGCTAAGCGAAATTCCCCCATTTAAAACATTGTTTTGCGATCGAAGTAATGCAGATTCATCGGATTCATCGTAGAGCAGGGTAATCGTCCAGCAGGGCATGACTGTACTTTGGTGAACAGAGGAGTTACAGTGACACGTTTACTTCAGTTTTCATACCCTTTTAGTGGTTTTGACATCGTAGCAAAGAACGATAGGTCTGTAGTTCGGTGAGGTCGTCAGAAAGTACCAAGGAACCCTGTGAAGAAAGAGATTGAGGTTTAGATGAGTTTAATTCTGGAGGGCAGGCAGGCATAGGAGGTATCAGAAAGCTGTAGTTCCTAGGAGGGCACTAGAGCTCTCAAGCAACTTCCTTAAGACGGGACCCCTGCCGTCTCCAGGGGCGTAGCTGTGATGGGCAGGTACGCTTAAGAATTGGCTACTAGCTCCTGCAACGTTCCCATGTTTGGGTCTTTGGCAAGAGAGCAGCCGGCCAAGAGGGCTGTTTTGGCTGCCCCTGTCCCTTTGGCTGAAATCAGAGGCCTCTCCTTAACTGTAATAAGGCTCTGGAATCTAGGTCCTCGAACACCCCATGATACCAATGTTCTTCTGCAGCCATGGTCACCTCTTCTTGCCCCCATTTCATAGCAACCCACGTTTTCACCTTTTTCTTTGGGTTGTCCCGCGGCCACAGGTTTACGTGGGTGTTACCCCATTGGCATCTACCCAACCCCCTTGTAAATTAAAGGAGAATGCCCTTGACACGCCCCATAATTGGGAATGAGGAATGGTGGGACATTGAAGTGGCGGGGCTGAACCACGGGGCGAGGGGGCTCCTGCCAGCCGGTCTTCGTTCCCTTTGTGCTCTCTGCTCCCCCTTCTGTTTTGTGGGTCTCGCGACATCTTGCTTTCGTGCGGAATGGCTTTCCGCGTGTTGCGTTCTTGAGCGTTTCGATCTCGTGCTTGGTGTCCAAGGAGCGACTGGCTCTGCCTGCTTTCCTGTGTGTGACGTTTGTCTCTCTGGGATGAGGTGGGTCCTAAGTGGCGAATGAAGTGGGTAGGTGGGGATAACGACATGATGGAGGGGGTTTGAATGGTTACCCCTAACTCAAGACTTGGAGGCCTTTGTGAAGCGTTCATACAAGGGGAGAGCATGGAGTAGACTTTGTCTTAAAGGGCGGAATAGAAATCTAATAAATAAATAAAATTAAAAATACAGTGGTGCCTCGCTAGACGATGATAATTCATTCCACTGAAATCGCTGTCTAGTGAAATCATTGTCTAGCGAAAAGCAAATTGTTGTCTAGCAAAAATCGGTTTGCGAAGCAGGGACCAAACATTGTCCAGTGAAATTCCCCCATAGGAATCACTGTTTTGAGAAGCGCTATAGCGATTGCAAAAAGTCAATGTCTAGCGAAAAAACTGTCATGCGGGGTAACTGTCTAGCGAGGCACCACTGTAAATACTATGGGTAAAGGGGAAAGCTTAGGATTAAAAAAAATGACAGATTCCCAGCAATCTGTGCTGCAGGCTTAGCAGCATCCCGCTCCCCCTCCAGTGTGGGCTTAAAACCTCTGAACAAGGGGGCGGGCCTTTGTGATGTCACAGGGAGGGGCCTTGTGATGTCACGGAAATGGGGCAAGCAGCTGGAAGCATGTCCAACATCCAGACAATGGATGCCCCTCGGCAGCCCCAGCCACCCCTTCTTGCTCCTAGTTGAGCCTCTGAGCTTGGGCACCTGCTGGAAGCGGGAAGAGATGGGCATCCACAGATCTTAAAGCTACCTGGCACACGAAAAGCAAGCTTTCGTCTCCTCCTCCTCCTCCTCTTTATTCTTCATGCTTAGATTTCTTCCCTAAGACTTTGGTGGCTGCCCTGAGACCTGACCCACAACGGTAGGGTCCCCAAATAGGAGATTTTCTCAAACTCTGGTGAAGACCACCGTTTCCCCGTTTAAAAGGCATCGGCTGCACCGAGGCAGAATCCAGCCGCTGGGCAGACAGGCCCACTCTTCCCACTGAAACGGAAAGGGCCACAAGTGGCCAGTGTCTGACACCGTCAGGGCTGTGCTGTTCCCTCACACTCCCATGCAACACACGGTGGCTAGAATTCAAGACCTCAATCCAGAGGGTAGTCCCTCTCTAGAGTAGACCCACTGAAGGGGTTTGCATCCACTGTTGAGGTATGGGGTCTACATAAACTTTTAAATCTTGGGTCCTTTTTAAAGGAGATAAACAGGGTAAAATACTTTAAAGAATATATATCCTGGATTATATATCCTAGTCGTAAATTTCAGCAAACCCAATGCATTCGTTTGGCTTCCTTTTGCATCCCTGACTGTTTTGGTGATAACGACAGTTGAGCAGAGAAAATATCCGTGATGGAGAAGAAAGCGGGGAATGTTTCTGTGTCAGACTAGGTCACAGCTGGAATTTCCCAGAGGCGTTAGAATGTGGCTCTCTTCCTCCTCCCAGCCAGGGATGATGGCTGTTGTCGTTTGGTAACATCTAAATCACCAGATTATCCCTCCCAAACAGAAGACCTGGTTTAAGAAACAACAGCAAACAAACAGAGCTGGGCCCAATCCAGGGATCTGTGGTTTGAAGAGTAGAGTAGGACCTTTTGACCAGTGATATCAGTATCTGCTAATTCAGTTATCCATTGTCTGAAAGTATTAAAAAAATTTAAAGATACATTTTCTTTCGTTTTTAATATATATATAAAAACTGGCCACTAGAGGGAGCCATCATAACTATATTTCCATACTGCCTTTACCAGAACTGGCCACAAGAGGGAGGCAACGACTCTGCTATGCCTAGCATCCACTATTACTGTATAATAGTATTGTCTATAATCAACGTTTTTTTGCATCCATGCGGAGGCTTGGAACCAGTCCCCCGCGGACGTTCTAGTCCAATTGCAGAACAGTTTTCTATGTTTCTCTCATGAAACCATCGACCATTGCTTAGTGTCAACTGTAGTATCTTTTTATAGGTTTTGAGACTCATTCGGGACCTTTCTCCCAATTAGGCAAGTATTCTTCCCTCCCTGTCAGTGATGGTTTGTTTGTTTGGGTCGCTTGTCTCCCCGCCTTTCTGGCGAACGGAAACCGAATGTTCAACACGAAAACAGTGTCTGTTGTGGGTTTTGTCCAGACTTCTTTGTCACAACGGCGGGCGAAGAAGGGGGTCCCGTCCGTGAGCTCCTGAAGCAACTGGAAAAGTGGGGACCATTTCCATCTAGAGGTTAGAAGAGTAGATTCGGCTGAAAAAAAAACCCCACCAGGCATCAATGTTGACAAGCAGGCTTCATTCATTACTGTGGAGGAACCTTTGCTGATGCTGCTGTTTGGATTTATGGGGTGTCCACCCACCTGTTATGTATGGAGGAGACCCTGGTCCCCCGTGAGGCACATGCTCACAAAAAGGGGACAAAAATCACCATTGGAGGAACTGTACGTTGCCCACCCTTTTCTTACACATTCCAGAGAGCGATATCTCGATTTCTGCAGGTTGAGGCCATTTTTGGTGAGCTGGTCTGGCCAAGGCAGTTGAAAGGGATTTGGGGAAGAGAAGAAAGGAACTCAAAGGACCAAGCCAGTAGAAGTCAAGGCCGCTGGAAAGGGAGCGGTGGGCAGGCAAGAAGGCCGAGGAGCTCTGTAGGGAAAAGTCTATACACTGGTGCCTCACTAGATGATAATCCGTTCCACTGAAATTGCTGTTTAGCGAAATCATTGTCTAGCGAAAAGCATTTTCCCATTGGAATGCATTGAAACCTGTTTAATGTGTCCCAATGGGGAAGAATTGTCATTGTCTAGCGAAGATCGGCCGTAGGAAATCCGCTGTGCAAACCGCTGATCAGCTGTTTAAATCACTGTCTTGCGAAACTTAGGTTCCAAAAACACCTGTTTTGCGAGCGTGGAGGAAGCTGTCAAAATCGTCGTCTAGCGAAACTCGGTTTGCGAAGCAGGGACCAAACATTGTCCAGCGAAATTCCCCCATAAGAATCACTGTTTTGCGAATCGCTGTAGCGATCGCAAAAAGTCAATGTCTAGCGAAAAAACTATCATGCGAGGTAACTGTCTAGCGAGGCACCACTGTATCTCGACTTCTGCAGGTTGAGGCCCTTTTTAGTAAGCTGGTCTGGCCAAGGCAGGTGAAAAGGATTTGGGGAAGAGAAGAAAGGAACTCAAAGGACCAAGCCAGTAGAAGTCAAGGCCGCTGGAAAGGGAGCGGTGGGCAGGCAAGAAGGCCGAGGAGCTCTGTAGGGAAAAGTCTATACAATCGGGAAGCCAAGCAGGCAGACGTAAAGGCAATCAGGGAGCCAAGCCCTTGCAGGCCGAAAGAGGTTCGTTTCAGAGGCAATGTTTCCAGATACGAAGCAACCGTCGAAATGGTCACGAGGGGGGAGAGCAGGGTCGCCTGGTCAGCCGTGTCCTGTTCTCTGAAATCTCAGGCCCAAACCTGAGACCTAGAGATGTTGTGGGTCCTTGAGATGTCACAAAGGCAGGGCAAGATTGGGAGGTGGGTTATAGATCTGCCTCTGGGGCCAGCTTATTGTGGAAATAGGTGTGAGGGAAATCCAGGTAAATGGGCTCAGAATCCAGATGGAACCTGTCTGAACTGGGAACATGGGCAGCCCAGAAACTAAGGAAACACACACACTGTTTGCAGCTGGACAGATGACAAACTTTGCCTTGGAGTGAGCTTGATAGCAGAGATGATCATCCAGGCTTTAAAGACACCCACACAGAGAGACACACACACAGAGAGATAAAAATTAAAGGTTCTTCTCCAGAATTGCTTGTCATGATTTTTGCCTCCTCCTCCCCTGAGGAGCAATTCCAAGACCTATCATCCTGGGAGCAGGACTACAAGAGCGACCCATGGCCATGGAGGAGAGCCATTTGAAGTTTCCTGGGCCTCCGGAGGCCTGCGGTTTTTCATGGAGCAGCTGCTGTTCCGTGTTCCAGTCTAGCCTCAAGGGAAACCCTTCAAGCCTCGTGACCGTAGGTGTGAAGGAGGAATCCTAAAATCACGGAAGGGGAGCCTCTCGGGCCATTGGGTCCGACCCTCGGCTCAAGGCAGGGATCCAGAGCCCAGCAGATCTGACAGGCAGCTCTTCTTAAGTTTAAGGAAATGCACCTCGTATTCCTTCATGGCTTGCATCCTGCTCTTCTTTGACGGAGTCCAGGGTAACAGATGAAGGGTTTACTCCAAACCCTGTAGGGTAGAGTAGTGTCAGATGGTGTGGCTGCCCCACTTCCTTTGAGGCAAGGTTGTGGCCCAACGGGGACCTGAACCCATCTCTCTCTGGTCTGGGGACTTCAGCACGATCTCTCAAGAGGAACACCAAAACCTCTGCTCTCAGAAGCAGGAAAGTTACTTCCCCCCCCCCCAAAAAAAGAGCAACTCCCAGATCCTCCAGATGGCAGCATGGCTGTCTCGAAGATCTTTGAAGTTATCAAGTCCAGAAACAATATTTTGGCCGTCTGGGCTCACAAGATGTTTCCCAATTTGCACATAGGCACCCCCTTCCACCTGAAGGCGGGACGGCCTGGCGTGCTCTGCTCCATGGGGTCACAAAGAGTTGGACACGACTAAACGAATAAACAACAACACCCCCTTCCCAAATCTAGAATGGATTTCTCTGTTACGGCAGCTAAAAAGTTGACCCCCATTGTAATTTTTTTTTAATGGTGGTAACCATAGCGTGTTGGGTTTCCCTTCGATTTCTGTCGGAGCTGTAGGAATCTGAAGAAAGCCGACCCCTTTCACGACAAGTCCGGTGGGGGTCTGTCCTCACGTCTTTCCCTCTCCGTCAGGACAGGCACCCCTGCCCTTAGGCACACACTTTTCAGTTTGCGCCAAAGCGAAACGGCCATCCTGGGCTGCCACTGTGGGCTGAAGGATGTTTGGGGAGGCGGGGGGAGATGGTTTATGAACGAAAGCCTTCCCAGAAAGAGGGGTTGTCAGTCTCTGCCTCTGAACGCCGTTTCTTGCTTTCTATCTATTCTCCTGCATGTCTTGCATTTGGAACGGCAACAGTTGATATTAAAAAACGGGTGGCAGGTAGGAAACGCCGGGAGTACGTGGGGCAAAATGTGGGGGGCGGGCGGGAAGGGTGTGCGCATCACACGGTCTGTGGCTTTGTGTGTTTCCCTCAGCCTGTGCTGCGTAAGTCAGAGAAGTGTGTTTTGTGTGTGTGTGTGTGTGTGTGTGTGTTGTCAAAGGGATGACATCCTGTCCTGAAAATTTTGGCCCTTGAACGGTTCTAGTTTACAAAGCTCAGAAACCTCCTTTTTTTCCGGCATGATTGTCAAGGGAGTCTGGAAACTCGATTTCATTTTATTTCCATTTGACTTCCATTTCTATACCACCCTGCTAGCGTGGCCGCTCTCTGGGCGGTTTACAAAAGGCCACAACAACACAACACGATAGAAAGAAGAAGAAAGTGGACATGCCACAAAAATCGAATTAAGCCCTGTCCCGAATTGGAGCCGCTTGAAATCCATGCAAAAAATCAAAGCCCATTGGAGCATCTCTGACGATTTTGCACGAGTAAAAAGCAGCTTTGCATAATTCAGCCTTAATTGGATCCCTGAAAACCGTTAGGGAAGGCATCTGGCAAACCTCTGTAGGAAGCTAAGCTTGTTTTAGAGGGAAGGGGTCTGGACGAACAAGAAAAATTGGTTCTCTCTGTTGGCTTTCTTGGCCTCCTTAAGGAGACCAGAAAAAGTATCTTTTCCAAGCACTGGTGTTTTGCACAGCCCCAGGCTGACAACTGTAAAATCTCCCTGGGTTCTCGGAGCCTAGCGAAGAGTTCCGTCCGTATTCACAGGACCTCCTTTGTCATTTGCTGTGTTGGAACAACGCTCAGGATCCCATCGTAGCAGAAATGCCCATTTTAAGGACAGGGAAAGACGAGGTGGGCCAGGGAGAGTTAAGAGCCTTCCGGGTCCTGCCACGTTACCCTCTGGTGTACCTGTCCCTCCAACTCACACATGCACACGACAACCCTGTTTGGCATAACCTGGGTTTCCCAATCCTGCCTTTGTTGCAGAAAATATAATACCTCCCTAAAATTCTCTCGTTTTCCTCCTGGTACCAAATTCTGGACTTGTAAGGCCATCTGACAGACAGGTGAGTCTAAACACACCTGTGAATGAGATGCTTTCGTAGGCTGTTTTTAAAAAAATTCCATCCAGTGTGTATAGAAGTGCTGGATCGCTCAGCCTTTGAGGTCTCTGGCTGTGGAGCCAGAGGTAGGGAATTCGATTCCCCCACGGGGCCTCCCGGACAGGGGCTGGACTAGATGATCCTATAGGGTCCCCTTTTCCAGCTCAGCCGTTCTAAGATCATTCTAAGTGGTGAAGTTTTAAGGGCATGAGTTTTTTTTAAATTTCTGATCCTTTTTAATTCACCACTTCTCAAAGTCTTGACATGTCAAAAAAAAAATTATAGTCTTTCATCCTTCTCTTAAACTCCAGAGTTTCTTTCCAGAACCATATATAATCAAGTTCAGAATGCTTATTTTATTTTATTTCAATGCCACCTTTCTCTCAATTATGGGACCCAAGGAGTTGCATAATTAAAAAAAAATAACCTGTTAAAAACATTAAAAAATATTATATTAAGAAACAAATTAAACCTGTATTAGTATTAGTATTGAAATAGATTAGTATTAAATGTTGATCAGTCATGTTTTACGATCCACAGTTCAGCAAATGGTCTTTTTGAGTTGAGCTCTGTTGCTCCTGGGAGCCAGAATCTGTCCCCTTGGATATGAATCAAAATGTTGATTGAGGGATTGCGGGATCCCAACCCAACGTAGTGCACATACACTGTCATGCCAGAGGCCAGAATCCTGTTGGCTTGTGTTCCTGGAAGGCTTGTGCAATGTGCCACGGCTAATTGCGACTAAGTTGACAAGGTATCATGAATGCAGTTGCACAATTCAAGGTGTGACCAGCTGTGTGCCCTGGGTAGACCTTGGCACTTTGTCAATTGGTCACAATTAGCTGCATTTAGGTCACTTCGCTGCAACCTCACGTGGACAACAGTGATTCTGGCCGTTACGTGCTCAGAGCCTTCTTCTGTAAGAATTAGGTTAGGGTTAGGGGGGGTGTAATAATTGCTCACATGCTAGTTCTGTCCTGATCTAGGAGATGCCTTCAACCTGGTGAAACAGGTAGGCCAGGCTATTTTTAAAAAAGACAATCTCCCAGAATTCTGGAAATTCTGGGAAACGGTCTCTCGCACTCTGACTAGGTTTTCTCAGCGCTCAGAAATGATTTGCTAGTAATTAATTTGCTACCCTTATTTACTAATTTTGTTCAGTGACACATTTTAAAAAGCTAAGCAACACTTATTATTACTGTATTTATTATTCGGTAACTTCACCGTAGTCATTTACAGTCACTCTCTAGACCATATTTTGGAGAGTAAGAAATTAACATCTGAACTAACAAATCAACGACCCTGTTTCCCCGAAAATAAAACCTAATATTCGGTACCATCACCGTAGTCATTTCCAGTCACTCTCTAGACCATATTTTGGAGAGTAAGAAATTAACATCTGAACTAACACATCAACGACCCTGTTTCCCCGAAAATAAGACCTAACCTGAAAATAAGCCCTAGTGGGATTTTTCAGGATGCTCGTCATGGAAGCCCTACCCCAGGAATAAGCCCCAGTTAAGGGAAACCCTGCTCTCCACCTTTGTGCAGCAACCAGAAGAAGGCGACATGGCTTGTCTTTGAATAAATGTAGATGGTTGTACATGAAAAAAATAAGATGTCCCCTGAAAATAAGCCTTAACGTGCAAAAATTAATATACCCTGTCTTATTTTCGGGGAAACACGGTAGCAAATGAAATTCCTTGATCTTTTAGGACCAAGGCGTTAGATCTGCATAGCAATTTCACCTTGAGGCCTGAGTAGTTTGCATTCCACTCCGATGGATCCATCCACCCCTCCCACTGTTTGGCTGTGACCACTCGGGGGACGCATGGCTTCAGATCCCCTCGTGTTCCGCCAACCTGGTTCGTCTTTCTGTGCATTTCCTTGAGAACCCTCAGAGGGCTGCCCGGCGTGTGGCCAACTGCGCCTCCAAACACCCGCCCTGCATGGCAGCATGCGACGCTTCTTCGGTGTCATCTGTGTGCCCCCCCCACGTTGGCTAAGGTCCCCTGATTTTTCTTCCCTCCGACCACTGTTCCCTTTTGTGCGTGCTTTTGCAGTGGCCTGGTTCTCCTTCGACCCCGGCACGGCCCATTCGGACATTATCTTCTCCAACGACAACTTGACCGTCACCTGCAACAGTTACGATGACCGGGTCGTGCTGGGCAAGACGGGCTTCTCCAAAGGCCTCCACTACTGGGAGCTGTCCATCGATCGCTACGACAACCACCCGGACCCAGCCTTCGGGATCGCCCGCCTGGATGTTCTCAAGGACGTCATGCTGGGGAAAGACGAGAAAGCGTGGGCCATGTACGTGGACAACAACCGGAGCTGGTTTATGCACAACAACTCACACACGAACAGGTAACGTGGTTCTTCCCACTTGGTGGCTGTTCTCTGGGTCAAACCACACACAGGGCAGAGAGCATGGCATGAGAAGAGAGGTTTCATTATCTGAGCGTCCTAGCAGCCGTTTCCCACACCCCGGTGGGTTGCAAATGATCTCACTTTGGTTTCGTGATTGGTCATCGGGAGCGAAGCACCGCCTTCTCTTCGCACTCCAGAATCAGGTACAGTGGAACCTCGAATTACGAACTTAATCCGTATTGGAAAGGCGTTCGTAAGTCAAAATGTTCATAAGTCGAAGCTCCGTTCGCAAGTCGAAGCAAAATTTTGCGAGCGGAGCGGTGCGTAAGTCGAAATGTTCATAGGTAGGGATGTTCGTAAGTTGAGGTTCCAGTGTATCTGGAACATGAAATGGCTTTCAGCTAATGATGTGCTAAGACGAACGTACCGTTCGTCAACGCCTTCTCTTCTTTTTTCCTTCTTTTTTCTCGTTCCTTCTTTCCCTGTGCTAAATTAGATTACAGGGGAATAAATCAGGGAGCTTATCTCAATCAAAGATCTTCCATGACTCACCAAAGCATTGTTCCTTTTTTTAAAAAAAATCCCTAAGGATTAAGGAACGAATGGCATAAAAGTCCAAACCAGCTACTTGATATTCCGCTGAGAAGACCCCTTAAAATAATGTTAAAACGTAACAAGAAACTACCAGCTATTACACCAATAGAATAATGCTGTGTCTACTGATTACATGACTTCTGAGATGTGATTTTTTTTTTTAACACCCATGTTACCTAAAAAAAAGGAGGCGGGGTGTCATGTTCCCAGTATCTGCAGCAGGACCACAATGTCTGTGGGGGATCGGTTCCAAGCTGACCCATTTCTTTGCCCCTCGAATGCCAGAAAATATGGAAATTGTAAACACTATACAGTATTTCATCAAACTCTGTGAAGGAGTGAAGACAAGTACCTGGGATCCCCATGTAAGCCCTTGCTGGGTTTTTCTTCTGGACAGGACCGAAGGGGGGATCACCAAAGGAGCGACCGTGGGCATCCTACTTGACTTGAACCGGAGGACCGTGACGTTCTCCATCAACGATGACCAGCAGGGGCCGGTGGCCTTCGAGAACCTGGAAGGCGTGTTCTTCCCGGCTGTCAGTCTGAACAGGAATGTCCAGGTAAGGAGCGGGGCGGGGCTGGGGCCCAATGGGAAAAGAGAGGCTGCGACAGCCTGGCCTTGTGGGGGTCAGATGACACCATCTGATCCTGGAGGACAGCAGGGCCTGGGGTACAATGCCCATTGCTCGGGGCTGGCTGGGGTTCATGGGAAACATAGTCCAACGGAAGTGCAGGGGGGAACTGCATTAAAAATGACTGAGCAGCTTGCCAATAGCCACGTGTGAGATTCTTTTTGATCGGAGAAGTTGGGGAGAATCACCCAGACTTTGGGGTCTGGTGGTGGTTTGATGCTTATGCTGGAAGATGCCCAATTAGAGGAGGGTTTACAGGCAGTTTACAGCTCCTGGACTCTTTCACCAACCAAAAAACTAAGGGACTTAAAATAGCTTAACCTTAGCTGGATTATGACCTACGTCTTAATGCATGTACTAAATGTGTCCTAGTTAGAGAGGGGCACGAATCAGAAAAATGGCAATTTGTGATTCATCAAGGTCGATGAATCATGAACTGCAAATTTGTGATTTTTTTTCTGACAAATCAACAAATCAGTGTCAGTTTGCTTTTTAATTTTAAACCCCATAAAATGGCCCTCCAGGCACTTAGAAGTGCCACATTTTACAGGGAATCTTCTCCGGCCTCTCCTCTACAATCCTTCCAAGTTTGGTGAAGATTTGGTTTTGGAGGTTCAAGTTATACATGCACAAAGTGGGTCTCAAACCCCCCCCCCAATAAAGTGTCCTTGAGCAGCTGGCTTGGGGAAACCCATCAGCCTTCCTCAGACTTGGTGGGATTGTAGGGGAGAGTCAGTAGAAACCTCTGTTTCGTAGACAAACAAATTGACAAATCAAAAATCACTATAAAATTCATTGATTCATATTCGTTGGGGGGGCATCAAATAAGAATCAATGAATTAGCGATTTTTTTGAATGAATTTGGTGATTTGTTTTTTACATTCGTGCCCACCTCTAGCCCTAATGAAAAGATTACACATAGAGGATCAACCATTGCTTGCAAACCCAAGGACATTGAGACAACACTGGCTACATACCTGTACATCTACAGTGGGGTCTCGACTTACGAACTTAATCCGTATTGGAAGGCAGTTCTCAGGTCGAAAAGTTCTTAAGTCGAATCTGCATTTCCCATAGGAATGCATTGAAAACCATTTAATCCGTATCTGCTCTTTTCGTCCGTAGAAACTAATGGGAAGCTGCTATTCCGCCTTCTGCCACTAGAGGGGGATATTTTTTTCTTTTTTCCTTTTAACCTAAAATGACTTAGCTTTAAAAAAAAGGAAAAAAAGAGTTCGTAACTCGAATCTAATTTCGTAAGTCGAGTCCATATATTCCTATGAGAGCAGTTCATAAGTCGAAACGTTCTTATGTCGAGCCGTTCGTAAGTCGAGAACCCACTGTATGTATAGAAACGGCTAAAGAAAACTAAGCAGCCCTCCAGTCAAGGTTTTTCTATATATCCACCTGAAGGATGCCGTTAATCACTAAAAGGCCTCCATATGGGAGACTATGCAACAGAAATATTTAAGCAAAATGTGTCAGCTCCCGTCTTCTTCTTTGCTGAAACCCAAAACATTTTGCTTAAACATTTCCCTTTGTTAGTCATTCTTATACGTACCCTGTTTCCCCGAAAATAAGACCTAACCTGAAAATAAGCCCTAGTAGGATTTTTCAGGAGGCTCATAATATAAGCCCTACCCCAAAAATAAGCCCTAGTTCAGTGAAACCCTGCCCTCCACCCTTGTGCAGCAACCAGAAGAAGAGGACAGGACTATAAAATAAAACATCCCCTGAAAATAAGCCCTAATGTGTTTTTTGAGCAAAAATTTATATAAGACCCTGTCTTATTTTCGGGGAAACACGGCATACATGTATATTTTTGAACTCTAGCCCATGGAAAGGTCACTTTGGGGGCAGGCTGGCCAGGGGATTCCGGTGGCTGTAGTCCAGTAAATCACATTTCCAGGCTTTGTGAAACCCTCTTGAAATGCCCGTCAGGCCGAATCCTGTCCTAAGCGGTCTTTGGTTGCAGGTGACCCTCCACACTGGCCTGCCAGTTCCGGATTTCTACCATACTCGGGGTGCCCTACAGTAAGGAGGCTGTGCGACGCGCCCGGTGGCTTTTTCTCGGGACACCTCGAGAGAGAGAGAGAGAGAGAGAGAGCTACGCTGTCGGTTTCTTCTGGAACTGACCTCACCAGAGCAAGGAGGAGAAGATCTGGATCGCTACGCTGTTGGTTTCTTCTGGAACTGACTTCACCAGAGCAAGGAGGAGAAGATCTGGATGTCTGGGAATCCCAGGACAGCAAAAACAACCCAAGTGTTTCCAAAAGGCGGGGTGGTATCTAGAGAAAGAAAAGACAAATGAGACTTTGCACCCCATAATGGTGGTGCAACAACACCCCTTCCCTCGGTCTCTCCAGCCCCATGTGCTCTGTCCGTGCGTGCGTGTGTGCTTGCGTTGCTTTTTAAATTATTATTATTATTTGCTGTTTTGGCTGAAAATGGAGGTTCCAGAAAGCCTGAGATTCAACTCCTCGCTGGCTTTCCCCACTGCCTCTCTCCTCAATGTGAATCGGATCCCAGTGACACCACGGCGGCTGTCGAGCCACTTCGGAAACCCCGCCACAAAGCGCCGCGCCACCCGTGTCGCCCGCAGACGGTGTTCACACACTGCAAGCCAAATGGGTCTAGAAGGCCCCAGGCAGGCGGGCAAGCAGGCGAGAACCCTTCTGTGCTAAATGGCCAGCACTGCCTCGGATTGATTTCGCTTGCGTCATTTCGCTCCGTGGGGCTTTTCGGACAGAATAATACCGCCAGTGACTTTGGCTGTGGGTCGCTGCTTAGTCTACACACAAAGCCATGTGGAATGAACCACGTCGGGGGGGGGATGGGGGAAGAAATGTGTTTTTTCTTTTATTTATTTTTCCAGTCAAACCAAGAAGGAAGACGGTTTGGGGTAGAAACGGAAAAGAAGCTCTCATACCAGAGTCAGGATTTCTAGCAAGACGGCTCATTACAGTGCTTTCCTTTTACTGTTTACTTTTCTTCCTTTTTTTTTTTAAATTAACAAGGTGCTCTCTTTTTTTTGGTTCAGGAGAATGTTGTAGGCACTTCACCGCAAATCCCTGAAACCTTTTATTCCATGGATGCTGGAAAGTGGGTTTTGTTTCTAAAGGACCACAGCTCGGCGAGGGTTGTTCCAGGAACTCCAGCCAGAAACCAAACTTCTCCTGGCCAAATGCGATATGGCAGCAGTGTTTGTCCTTTGAGGGTTGCCTGCCTCGATGTCTAAAATTGGGGAGGGTTTGTTGCATCAATAGGCACAGAAAGGTGGGCAGGGGAAGAGCATTTCTGCACCCCACTACCTTATCGCTGTTCTCCGTAGCATCAAGCAGTTTCTTCTCAAGCCAGGCCAATGGCACTTCCATCCTGGGGGGCATCTGGAGCAGCCAGGCCGGTCAGGGTCTACACATGGAATGGGAAGGCTACTTGAAAGGCAGTCTTCCCGAGGAGGAGCAGGAACTGTTCTCAATCACCCCAGGGGGCAGGTTGAATAATCATGGGCCCAGGTTGACAGGAAACTAGATTTCGGCTAAATGTCAGGAAAAACTTCTTAACTGCTAAAGGAGTACAATGATAGAACCCATAGCCTCAGGAGGGGGTGAGAATGCATTCCGCCTCATGCTGTGTGTTTTCCAGGAAATGGGTTGCACCAAACCGCTCCACAAGCAGTCCAAAATGCAATTTATTTCCCCGCAGGATTACACCCTCACTCTAAAAGAACAATGCCTGCAAACTCCATTTTCTGAGGTAATATTGTGGTTCTGTGAGCAAAGCTTTGCGTGGCATGCTTTAGTTTTCTCAGACTGCATACTGGTGCTTACCCCAGGCCCCTCCAAAGACACAGATGAGGGAGGAGGTCTTGTCTGTAATTATTTTAGATAATCCATCTTTTAGATAGCTACTGTGATCATTTTGCCTTTAAAGAAGGCAACCTGTACGTGGATTTAGCATTCAAGTGGGGCTCATGATATAAGCAGTTGTTATAGATGCTACCCTTGATTTTAGCCAAAAGGCCAAGAAGCAGTGTTATAGTTAGTTCTTAATTAGAGCATGTTGAATTTTGGAGCGGGGTGACTGAGAGAATCTTTTGGGTTGGTGAAATGAGACTTAGAGAGATTCCATGTTTAAGCCCTGAAGACAAATCATCGAGTAAAGCTAATCTGGAAACTTCTGGAAGCCAGAGTAGCTCCTGCCACGATACATCTGCTACCATGATGCTTTTATTAGTTAAGGATTTTCACCTTCTAATCACTGGCTATCTATAAAGTCTGGTTTTGCCCCTCAAAAGGCTAAGCAGAAAGACAAACTTTCCCACCCTATTGATCCGTTTACACTCTCAGGAAATCCAGTTTACGAAGGTTGGAAATAAGCCAACTGGTGCTTTATCATCAAAAGGGGAGTAGTTTAAGTTGATAATTTTCCTCTTAATCGCCAGAACAATATTTATTTTCCCCTGCACTGTTTGCTTAGCGTTAACTGCAGTGTTAACTCTCATGCACACTCATGCGATGGCACGTCTGCTGAATCAGAAGGAACAGCCTTGCCACGGAATATTTCTCCTCTAACCACCACTTTTCTTGAAAGTCCTATTTCACCTGATTGAAGCGCAAGGTGGCTGGAACGTGGATGGACTGTGCAGGACAGCGAGTAACACAGGACCGCAGTGCGCTGAAAAGGAGTAGCCAGAACAATGCGGGGCATTGACCATAAAGCAGTTGTGCTTTGGCATCTGTTGCTTTGTTATCCCAAGGGAGGAAGTACTGTGGTGTCTGCTGAAAAGAGACTGGTCTGGAGCAGAATTAGGCCCGGAGGCTAGCAATGTGGCTAGGTGGCAGCAACGAGCAGTGTGGCAGGTAATAGGACATGGCACAACCTCAGAGAAAGACAGTTCTGGTTCTACCTAGAGACAAGGCGTACCTGGGACTGTGGTCCAGGGATTCATTCCCCTAAATGCCCGTCTCTTGCAGGGGAACAAAAAGGAACGGAAAAGGGGGAGCGGGGGAAGCACTCCGAATTGATACCGCGTGGCCTTGTAGTGTTCCAATAGAGGCTCATGATGCCCATTTGCCTGGCAGAGAATCCATTCTGGGTTTTATGCTGAACTTTATGGGAGCCATCGAAGCTGATGATCGTTGTCCCCACATAGATTCAGTGCCTTCGATAGCGCACTTGACGTTTGGTGTAAGACCCAGAGTGCTTTGACACCTGGACACACGCATGCACGTCCAAGAAATGGAATGGACCGCTCAGAGGTTAGAAAAGTTACTTTTATAGAGTAGAACTCCCAGGATTTCCACGTTGGCAGCTCCGATGTCCATGTTGGGTGCAGAATTCTTGAGAGGTTTAAATTAGGAAAAGTAACTTCCCCAAGCTCTTGATATCTGTCCATAGGGGCTACTTCAAGTGTATTGCCCACTTGAAGAGTGTGTCAGAGTCCAGTGGTGGTTTTCATCTTCAAATTGTGATATGGTCCAGAATTGGGACCCCTTTTGCTTCTGAGCCATTCCTGGTGGCCACGTGAGCCACCCCCAGAAGGACCCATCTGAACCCCCCCTTTCTGCTCCAACACAAAATTCCACAGCCAGGTTCTGCTCCAGACGCAGAACTGATGGGGTAATTCAGGCAAACGACATGTACATAAATCCATGCCCGATTGCTCCTTCGATGTGGCGCCTGCCATCATCATCGCTGCTCTGGACCTCCCCAAACCCGCACGCTTGCCTGCAATGTCTTGTGCTTTCAGTTCGTCAACGCCCTGTGGAGGAAGACGGGTGTGATGAGAGTTCCGATAACGGTTTCCTTCCTTTAGCGTTATGTCTCATCATTGAAGGATTTGTAATTCGTCACTAAACGAACGGGGGGGGGCTATTGCGAATCGGCTAAAGAAAGGGATTCAGGCATAGTAACAGGATAACAAAAAACAAACACCACACAGAAGAAATGTCTGTAAATAAATAAGTAGAATTTTCTCCCTTTAAAACCATTTTTTCCTTTCTTTCTGTTCTGATGATGTTCAGCTATTATGTTAACCTAATTTATTTGAACAGGTGCTAAATTTCCAGTCACGCTCCTTGTTTTTCTTGACTTTGGAGGACCCGGGTCGCAGGATGGCGTGGCTCTCCTTGTGGCTTTCATTTCCCCGGAGGCTCAGTGGCTGGGCCACGGCAGCCTCGTTTTTCCATAGGCACCTGTCCTGCTTCTGATGTTCCTGATGCTTAGAATAGATTCCTAGTGGCTTGTAAGATGCCGTTTGGCACTGTAATGCATTAGCTACCGAGAGCCGCCTTCCAGGCCCGAAAGGGGTCCTCTGTGTTGTTCTAATAAAAGACTTTAGTCAAGAGAATACCCTTTCTGGCCTTTTTTTCCCCTCCCTTGCAATGGGAGGAATAACCGTTGCCATTAACTGAATAGTGTCTCCGAAACTTCTGAGCAGGATTTGGAATTAACACGTTGTAAGAAACAACGTTACCTGAAAGACATAACATTTGGGATAAGAATTCTGGCAGGTGTGTTTTTTTTTGAATGCAACAATGAATGACATAATTGCGATGGAAGGCATACGGAGCATAAATTGAGCAAACGCTTCCACTTGACAACACGTCTTGGAAAGGGTTCTGAGCCAAATGGATCCTCTCTACTACGTTCCTTAACCTTCAATACCTGCAGGGTGTCATCCTGGCTTCTGCTTGTGGGTCACTGAGCACACTTGATTGTGTGTACAGGTGTGTGTGTGTGTGTTTTTTAATACACTTCTCTGTGTTCCAGGTACTGCAACCCTAACCCATAACCTTTCCAAGCTGTGTTTCCTTTATAAAATTATCTGGCTGATTGTCTTTTGAAGAAATCTTGAAGGATTTTCAAGTTCCCAGTCTTGATCTTGGAGAGTTGGCAGAACAATCCAGGGCCTTTTCACTTCCAGAGCCTCGGGATTTAAGGGACGAGGACCAAAAAACGTGCATGGCGTGGGTGGGATGGTGACGCCCGCCAGCTTCGCTTCATTCGACCAGATTTAAACGAATCCTGATCACAGATCCAGATTGGTCCAGATTTTTCTCCTAGGACCTGGCCTCCACGTCTCTTAACCTTTTTGATCTTTTCTGAACATGTTTCATATTGCCGAGATCCGCTCCCACATTTAACAGGGGGTGGCCA